GAGACTCGCCTTCAGATGATGGTACACTTCCACACCCATCTTCATGGCCTCCTTGAAAGAAGAAGCACCAACTGGGAGGATCATGAACTCCTGTAAACAAAAGAGTTTGTGTCAATAAATAGGTATGTAAGAAAGTCGCATACCCACACACAGGGTAAAAGATACATGCCTGCATGGCCAGTTTGTTTCCAGCATGTGAACCACCATTGATGACGTTGAAAGCAGGGACAGGGAGCACAATCTTCTTGTTGCCAGCTAGGTTAGCAATGTGCTGAAAGTGGAAAGTACAACCACATGTAAATGATGATAGGGTGAAACGAAGAAACAGAATGATAAAAATAAATAATTTGGTTAAATAATAATAATAGTAGATAAAAGAAAAGATGAGAATAAAAAACTATCTGGAGATTAGTATACCTTGTACAAAGGGATATTGAGGACAGCAGCTCCAGCTTTGCACACAGCAAGGGACACAGCAAGAATAGCATTTGCACCAAGCTTTTAGCACCCAAAAATTCACACAATCAGGTAAATATATTTTTCCTACATACTCTTACAAATGATGAAAGTCGCACAGATAAAACAAATTTATAATTACCTTCTGTTTGCACCAACCCCACTCATTCTGAGTGCCATCAAGTTGTTGAACCATGAAATTGTCAATAGCAGTTTGATCTGTTGGGTCCTGTAAAAGAAAGCAAAAGGATCTCACTGGGGCTTGCCAATTACATATAAACTTAAATGGATATTTAGGGCACTGATGCATTAAAAATTCAAAATATTTGATGAACAAAAACAGAAAAGTGCCATAAGTTGTCAAGAAGATACCTTTCCAACTAGGGCAGGTCCAATAATGGTGTTGACATTGTTAACAGCCTAATATAAAAAGAAAAACAAAACATCAGCATCATAAATTGAATTGGGATAAACAAGTAATGGATAATCTACTATCACTAACCTTTGAGACACCCTTGCCAAGGTAATCAGACCCTCCATCTCGCAGTTCCAGAGCCTCGTATATTCCTAACATTAATGCACAAATTTCAATACAAGTGTGTGTGTGTGTGTTTCATCTCTGTGTAAAAGCCCAGAGATAACGGCATACAAGGCATATAACATCTTTTTCTTGCATGTGCGTGAAATCACAAGATTTAGATTCGAATAATCTTGCAAGACAAAATAAACTTTCCATCACAAAGCCTAAAGCATCTTTGCTTTCATCGAGGTTAAACATACAAGAGAAAGGGCGCATGATTAACGGAAAGTACCAGTAGATGCACCACTAGGAACAGCAGCTCTAGCACAAATACCATTCGATGTGTGCACATCAACCTGCAATTAATTCGCA